CTCTTTCCCCTCTGTACAATACACTACAGGGTAATCTCCAGAGGTTCCTCTGCTGGCAATGACACAAGCAACAGGGAAAGGCTGACAGGATGTTCTCAGAGGGAGAACAGTGCTCTACTGTCTTGTAGTTTATTCTGCCAGTGCATCAAAGCCTGGGCTGTGAGGCCAAGAAGAAAAATCTCCCATTTCTTGCTGCTGAGGATGCACAGACTATTTGCTATTCATGTTCATGTAGCAGGTGTCTAGAGCAGCAAGGAAAACATTGAGCTACTTCCACCTTCTTTCTTTAAAAAGAAAACCAACCAAAATGAATCCCAAACCTTTTAAAACTAAATAAGCCATACAAATTTGAATTCCTCTCTTTACTATTTTGCTGCTGGCCACGTTCCCTGAGCTACGGGTTGAGGCTGCCTGCAGATTCAGGAAGACAGATCCACCTGGGGTCTTGTTTGGAGAACTCTGTGACTTGTGGCATCTCAGACCTTCAGGACAGAGCACAGTCCTCACTTGAGCCCCTTCTGAAGAAGTGTGGTACAGACTGACCAACCACCACCAGAAAAATGGCTGGGGTCACCTACCTGCAATGACTCGTTCCACAGCATACTCGAAGTTGGAAGTGTCGATGGACTTGTGACCTTCTCTAGCAGCATGAAGAGCAGCTTCATTACATATGTTTGCTATGTCAGCTCCTGCAGACAAGAGTTCACAAGGATTACATTGTGTCTCTTTTGTGACAGAGATTTCAGGGGACAGCAGGGGCAAGAACAGATCTGGAGAAGGCCCTAAGGAGGTCAAACAGCCTGTGCCTTTTTGTTCCCTGGGAACAGAGCAAACCTAGTCCCTGGTGTTTATGTTGGAATCAAACAATACAAGTGCCCTGGCAGGGAACGCCGCGTTGCCACGCAGAGGACGGAGTTCAGCGCCCAGGCGACGGCCGAGGCGGGCTCTGGGTGAGCAGGGAGCAGTGTGGGCAGCCTGGGCTGGCACGAGCTGCCACATAGCTGCCACGCTGCTCCTGCGGTGGCCACACAGCCTCTGCGTGGGGGAGAGAACATCTGTTCTCAGTTTTGGGGGGTGTGGTGCCGGGGGGGGCTGCCCAAAGGAGTCACGAAGAGGCAGCGTGCTGGGGCCTGTTAGAGGGGAAACCCAGAAAGGATATTCCAGGAACTCTACATAAACAGGAACTCTGGAGCCCCTTGCTCAGCACTGTTTCAAACTCCCAGGGACCTACCCTGGAAGCAGGCTCAGTGTAGGAGCCAGGCAGAGTTGTCCAATTTCTACTCTGAGCGACAAAGTAATTGCTGTTCATTCCTCCTATAGCTTTCCCAGTAAACACATGTCAACTTAAGAGTCTTTCCCCTGAAGCACAACATCTCATCCTCAACAACAGCTCGGACAGGAGCATGAGCAGTGGGGTTCCTCCCCATAGACATTGGGAAGCCAGACCTTATAAAAGCACATTTTCCCTACCCCCACACCCAGCTAGTCCCAGAAGTTTCAGGAGATTCAAAATAGCGACAAACAATTGCTCATCAGAGCTCACCAGGGAGCTGGTCAGGTTCCCACTATTTCCATAGAGATAGAGAAGGCTTGAAGAAAAAAAAAAAACCTTCAGACCAAAATACCCTGTTAAAACTAAGGAAGCAAGCAGCTCGTGTGTGAGGTGCAGCAGCAGCCAGGAGCAGGAGCAGCCCCACAAGCACCCAGCCTGTCCTACCACTGAAGCCTGGGGTCAGCTCAGCCAGGCGCTGCGAGTAGAAGCTGGCGTCCTGGATCAGTTTGAGACCCTTCAGGTGCTGCTCGAAGATCTCTCTTCTCTCCTGTGAAGAAGAGAGAACACCTGAGCCCGGGGAGCCTTCCTGAGGTCGCAGGGAGCAGGGGACGGCGGCAGTGCCACCAGAGGGCAGGGCTGTCCTCGCAGCCCGCTGCAGGAGCCCTCGCCACCAGCCAGCTCTGCAGCTCACAACAGATGTAGGGAGGCTTACCCTGAGTCACAGCTTTCGCTCAGGGCCACTCTCTCCTTGGAACTTTCACTCTGATTTGTCTGAACGTTTCTTTACCATAAAAGCACTGGCAGGAAGGAGCTCTGACTGCCTCCTCTACCTGCTCCCACCAACTGAAAACCCCCACCAGCAGCTACCCAGCCCGTGACCGATTCCCAGACAAAGGTGGGGGTGAGATGATGGCTGGCAAGTAGCCAAGGAGTGACTCATTCAGCTGGTCCAGGAGATCCTGATGAAAACAATGGGCTCAGTTGCCAGGGTTTTTCCCTTTCCTCCTTCGGGCAGCTGCACGGTTCGTGCTTCCGGTGCCAGATTCTATCAGGCATTTAAGGTATTTTCACTGGAAACTCAGAGGAGGACAGTAAAGCACAGATGGGAGAAGAAGAGGCTGTGCTGGCAGAGCAGACAGATCTTTACTGCAGCTGAGCCTATTCCCAAAACTCTGCTACAAATGTCAACACAGCAGAGATGGAAGACTCCTAGTAAATGGATTTAAAAAGCATTCAGAAGGAGAAAGTCACTTAACAGGCTGCCTAAAGGAAAATGAGGAGCCTTACAAGGATAGTAAGCACAATAAACCTACAGAACAAATGGTGCTCAAGGCACATGACAATTTAAGCTCTCACACAAGCCAACTTGCCAATTAGGTGGCTCTCAGTTCCATGGAGAGAAGACACAAACATTGTTCTGCATCTGCACGGCAAAGAGAAGCTCACAGAAGAATTCACTGTCAAAGCTCCTACCAGAGCAGAGGCACTTAAAACCAGTAAGTTGTCATTCCAGAGGAACAAGCAACTGCATTAACACATCAAATCCTTGACTTAGAGCACATAAATAAGAGTACAGGGAATCAGGAGCTTACTGTCTGTCTTCTCCAAGCCCAGCCACGGCCAGGCCAGTGCACTGCCAGCACTATGGTGAGAAGAGGGCAGCAGGTGGGACATACCTGGAGCGTTGGGAGATCAATGAAGATGTGCCTGTCCAGCCTCCCAGGTCTCATCAGAGCGTTGTCCAGGACGTCGGCGCGGTTGGTGGACGCCAGCACTATGACGTGATCCGTGGTCCCCATTCCTGCAGAAAACCAAGCAACACTGAAGGTGAAGCTCTTCCCTGACACAGGCAGTGCACTGCAAGCACAGAGGATGCACGGGGCAGGGCAGGATGCAGAGAATGTCCTACAGAGCTTTATCACAAAGCCAGAGGGTGTTCGCAGCATCTTTGGGGCAGCGGAGGCTGAGAAGTGTCCTGTGTAGCCAGGAGCACAGGACAGGAAGGAACCTCCCAGGTCACCCAGGCCAGTCTCTGGTCATCACAGATACTCTGAAATTCCCTTTTCACTCAAATAATAAGCTTTGACTTAAAACTTAATTCTTTCCCTCCCTTTTGCCACTTTTGGAAATTTCTCCAACTAGAAGCCAGAAGAGACTCTCTACTCTGATGTACTGGGAGATACCTTCTCACCCCCAGGCTTAAGTCAATGCCTGCTCCTTTAGCTCCAGGTTGTACAAACAAGACTGGAACAGCTTTTCCTTCCCAAATGTTTCTGTGGAAAGCCCTTTCAGCTTCTATTTATTCACAGTCACAGACAGGCCACCAGGATCACCAGGGAAGGGACAGGCTTTCTTCTGACCAGCTCAGGTTAATGCAGAAAGAAGGCAGCCTTGCCACCCCCAGCAAGGGGCATGTTACAGCAGCACATCTGTCTGCTCACTCTTTTCTCGCTCTGAAGGCAGCACCCCGGCACACTGCAGAGCAGTGCCAAGCCCAGCCCTGCAGACGTGACACCACAGACACAAAACTTGACCCAAGAGCTTTCCCAGTGATGACCAGGGTACACAGCTCGAGCCACAGGCAGAGGTGATTTTGTCTGCAGGCCTCAACGGCGAGGGGAGCAGCAGGATCTGCCAGCTCTGCGTGAGCAGCCTGCAGCATGCAGGCACCAAAGGCAGGTAGGGCTTGCCAGGGAAGCCAGGGCACCAGCACCTGGAGTGGGGCAGCCAGGGGCAGGCTGCTCGGGCGGGAACCAGAGCTCAAGCTGAATCACTGAACCATGCTGATGATTTATTCCGTTCTACCAGGTGCCCACAGGCCCCTGGGCATGAGTCACCCGCTTGCAGCAGACTCACCAGCCCTGGCACCCAGCAGCCTTCCCAGGGAACGGACGTGGCCGTCCCCTGCCAAGTCCCAGGCTGCAGGGAGGCAGCTCTGTGCACGTAAGCTGGGCGAGCTTCAGCTCTCCCCAGCTCCACCAGAAGAGCTGCCAAATGTGTCAGCACAGGAGAGCTCAGCAGAGATTAAGGTTACAGGTAAGTCAGGAGGGCTGGCTCTGTCAGCTGGCACTACCACAAACCTTGGTGCTTCCTCCCTGCAGGAGGCTGTCTGAGTGAGCTGCTGGAGAGGAGGAGGAGGAGGCTGCTGCTCAGGCAGGTATTACACTGCACTCTGCAGGGTGATAAATAAGCAGAGACTGGCAGGCACTCAGGGGATGGTGAGCTCTGTTCACACGGCAGGATTAGATGGTACAGTACATTATCTGCTCTGCAGCTGGGAAGACTCTCTTAAAATAGGTCTGACTATTAGAATATAAGAAAAAAAAAAAAAAGAACCACTGAGAGCAACCTCTCACATCAGCTTCTGCCCCACTTGCTCTCAAGCCTGTAGGCCAGCAGTGTGACACACTGCTCCAAGAAATCTCCCACTGCAGCCTCCGATTCCTATTCTGTTCCTACTGCATCACCACCTGGCATGTCACAGGCTTCAGCTTCCACAGGCAGAGATCTGCCAGAGGAGCAGTCTACAAAAATACCACCTCAGTCACGCCCAGCAATGAGAAACAGCTCTGAAAATTCCCCTTGAAGAGCATTCTTATCTACAGTATTTACAAATGAAGGCACTTCAAAAGGGAAAGGGTAAAAAGGTCCACTTGAACTGGTGAATGCCCTGCTCCCCACTAGCACAACACTGAGAGGGGCACCTTATCTGCATTACTACACTGTAGCTGTTTGTTCAAAAGCCTTTTTGGACATCAGCTGTAATAGCATCATTGAAATGGGGCCACCTTTGTGAGGGAAGGCTCTGGGTCATACAGCACACATCAAGAGGAGACGTCTTGTCCAAGGACTCCAGGCGAAGAGCTGCTCCCAAAGGCTGTCCCAAATTTTCATTCACACACCAGAGCCCAGCCCAGGACTGCCAGGCTCCTCTCAGATGCATTTGGAACAGAGGAGATATTTGGGTCACATTCCTCTCCTGCTCGTTTGTGGTTTGTGAGGGAAGAGTCAGCACTCCAACCAGGCACATGTCTGACAAAGGCTGGAGTACACGTGTCACACTGCTTTCAAGAACAGCTTTTGTACAAACAGGCTCCCTCCAGTCCCTCTCCTTCTCCCACCAGACTCCTGGTGCTTCCAGAACACAAAGAAAGCCATCAGAGTGAAGGAAACCAAGGTCCCCCGTAGGAAGAGAACTACAATGACTCCAAAATCTGCATACCTGAATTACCAGGTCTCCATCTGCACATCCATCCCATGCGGCTTAGCATAATGGCTTTTGTCTTGGTGTCCTCATCTTTCCTCCAACCTGCAGAGCAGGTTTCACACAGGCTCTGACCCTCCTTTTCTTCCTCTACCTTAGCTCTGAGTAATCTCATTTGAACACACAACCTCAACAATCACTGCTGATGACTCACAGATCTGCTTTCATGCATGACTTTTTTCCCACATTAATAGCTAACTCGGTTCTATGGTGTTGCCTCACAGAGCTTCAACCCTCAATTTAAACTAAAGGCAGCTAAAACAGAGCTCTCAACCTTCCATTTCAAGGCCTCCTCACTACAAACACACACCACTCCTCCGCTTGTGTTTGGGTAGAGCTGGTAACCTCCTAAAAACCTGATTCACTATCATCCTGAGAACTATTTTGCCACGACACGCTTCGGCGCTCGTTTAGGTAACGACATCTCAGCAACGTGTGCCAAGGTCCCTGGCAAGGAGCAGAAGCCAGCAGTGAGCCCGTGTCTGTTGTGCTGCCTGACAGTCCCTGGCAGCTGTCTCCCAGCTGACACTGTAAACTCCTTGGGCTGTTTTTTCAGCCTGTGTTGGATAGAGCAGTTAGCAAAATGAGAGACGTGGCCCGTGATCTGCACGAGACACGAATCAATAATGAGACAAAAAGAACTTAAAAATAATCCAGGCAGCACACAGCAAATGAGGGACTATTAAAGCGAGTACTGAGGATAATATTCACCTTCAAATCCCACTTTCCAATAAAGTTGTACCCTGATTTTGGAATTGAGACACCAAGAACACACTCTGGAAACCATGCCTGATTTCCTCAGGCTGGAGGAAGTCAGACATGTTAATTGTTGGCACAGAGATGTGGAGTGTACTGACTACATATCCCTGAGCAGACACATGGGCCCTCCATTTAATTCAGTGTTAACTCGTTGCCAGCTCACTCTACAACTGTTGGGAGGAAGGGAAGCCCAACCACGGCAGGATTGCTGTTCTGTGTGTTACTAGTGGCCCTCTCTGTCAGGACAGAGACAGCTGTAAACAGATTTGCTCTAAGTGTATTTACATGCAAAGCCCCAGGGAACTGCACACACAGATTTAAAGTCATTTCCAGTATCTATGTAGCATTGTGTGTTTCAGGCACGCTCCTCTGACAACCAGATCTCTGCCTGTGTTGTTTGGGACCTACTTAAAGCTCATTCTTATCCTTCAAAAATTTTCACAGCACCCATGCTGAAGCAGAGAGGGGCCTGGAGGGTCTCTGCATGGCAGAGCCACTCTACCCAGTCTGTACCATGCTGTGCTCCTATTTACAGTATCTCCTTCTGCAGCAAGGGCAGAGATGCTGAATTATAGATCCTCTTGGATGCAGTATGGAGGAACAACTACCCTTTGCTGAAAGCAGTCTGACAAGTCCCAGCTTCTCTCCTTGAACAGGGAGGGCTGACTCCAGAGCACCCATGCTGGTGGGCTGCAGGACTTGCTCTGCTTCAGCCCTGTTTCACTGCAAACATTCACTAAAAAAGCAATTTTAACCCCTTCAACATGGTCTGGAGAACAGGGGATGCTTTCAGTGCAGGGTGGTTTTTAATTTTTCACAGGAGATAACTGTCACAGTTACAGTCCAGGGAAAAGGCAGCTCTGTCCCACAAAGCAGCAGAGGGCTTAAAGGCTCCTGGATGCTGTTATTCCTTACCCTGCTCTGCAATAATAAGGTTCTACAGCAACAGAAATATCACAGGTTGGGTCAGTGCTGCAGGCTCTGACAGAGCTATGACTTAGAATAGCCAAAGGATTGTTCTTTTTGGCACGTGTGTAAAAGTGTCTGAGAAAAGGGCCGATGCCAGCCAGAAGTGTGGCATCAAACTGAGCCTTGTTTGCAGACAAAGTAAGGGTAAGTCCAAGGACAGGAGGACTGATGTATTACATCACTTATGTCCTTCTGGGACAACTAGTCTAATCCTTAACAGGCTTTAAACCACTACCTGTCTTAGAATACAGCAAGTATCCAACATTTCATGGCCAGCTGGACCTACACACAACCCTCCAGACAGCAGTGCCCTTGCTGCCAGTTCAGTTCCTTCTGGCTCCCCAGTACTGTACATCCTTCTTCAACTGCCAGTGGGAAAAGATGCTCCCGAACTGAAGCTATTTACTACAATAAGAGTCTTTGGGGTTGCTGCCCTCTGCCAGCCATGATCTCCAATGCACGTTTTCTGTTGATATTATCAGCAGGTGGGTGCTCAATGTGGCTGTTAAAAATTCTCTCTGGATGTGACACTACACTGTTCTGACTCAAGGTCAGAAAAACAGTTGGCTCCAGGGTTTTAAAATTTAGTAGATTACGCCCCAAACCCTTAAAGTCTATATAAATGTCTAGATTTCAAGAGCATTCTCCCCTCAACTTATCACAGCTCTGTCCTGAGCTCGATTACTTCCTCAGGCACCAGCAGCTCCGGAGTAGCCCTGTCTAACCAAAGATGAAGAGAGACATGGTACAGGGCCTTCAAAAACAGGGATGAATGGTGGGGTACATGGGTTCAGACTGGTGCTTGAGGAGGTTCCTAAGGGTTCTGCAGGAAAGCCTGAGTCCACACGAAGCAAGGACAGGGCACAAAACTTCCACGAACCCCGCGTTCAACAGCAGCTGCTGCTGCTTCTCCTCTGTACTCAGCACAGCAGGTGGAGAAGGGGAGAAAGAACAGAGGAAAGACTCGCTTCAAGCGAGTGACAGGATGACCTCCGAGGCCAGAGTGAGGCCACACTGGTGTCCACACTGGGGAAAAATCCTGAGTTTCACGGCCACAGTCCCTCCAATAAGCAAAAGTCCAGAACACAGCTATCACTTGTCATATAGATGGTCTTTCAGCAAGGACATGACCAAGATCAGCCCTGAGCAGGCTGCGAGGTGCAAGCCAGCCCCGCCCCAGGGAAGAGGGGAGCGAGGTTCGTTCCAGCGCAACGCTAATTACCCCGGTGAGAAGAGCGCGCTAACGAGGCCCGGCTGCCCGAGGGGGCGGAAGCACTGACCGTCCATCTCCACCAGCAGCTGGTTGAGGGTCTGCTCCTCCTCGGCGTTGGCGAAGCCGGCGGCGCTGCTGGCGCGGCGCTTGCCCACGGCGTCGATCTCGTCGATGTAGACGATGCAGGGGGCG